AAAGAGACACCAAACAACCACAAATAGATGCAGTTTCTGTCAGTTTGGTCCAGATGCTGTAATCATTAGCACTATTAGCATTATGATCCCTATAACAGAGATGTCTGCACCCCACCATCCATCATCCATCCATTCACTTCATGAATTCAGTGATTCAGTATAAACATTTTATTTATCTTCCAGATTTCCTGGAATAAACACACTCTTAACCAGGTTGGTTGTGTTTCATTTCTCTCACACAAACACAGAACATACAAACTGCACACACACATTCATCCAATTACAGCGTGCTGTTTGTAACTGTGGGCAGGAAACTGTCCTACTGATGACTTCTGTTTGTGTGTCTGTGAGGATTCACCACCCATACTGACACTGATTCATTATCAGTTCCACATACGATAAGATCTGAACCTTCTTGCTGTGGGCTTCGCCACAGACACACTGTGCTGCCACAGAGCTCTGCAACCACATCTCTTATTCATGAACGCTGAGAAATGCCAAAACACTGATTGGTCTGTGTCCATAACGAGCTACCACAGTCAGAGACGTGAAGGTTCGTCTGTGAGCCTCTGAGCCAGATCATTACAGCAAACAGGAGCATTAGTGAAGAGCTGATTTCAGAACAGTGAACAATGCTGATTTATCACTTTACTTTGTGACTTTTTGACATGGGATGCCTTTCAGATTAGGCTTTACTCTTATAAACACTGCAGGCGATACAGGCCTGGATGAACTGAGGGACTGTCGCTCAATTTAAAGTAAGAATGTCCTGATAGAGTTTGCTCCTCATCCTGATCATAATGCTGAAAATCTGTTGACCAAATCCACTCTTCCTCTCCAGTATAAATACTGAAGTTCAGCAGCAGCTTTCCAACCAACAGCAGCAACTTTAGCAAGTTCAGATTGATCTGCAGAATGTCACTGAAAGAGGCACGACCACAGAGAGACAGAAAACAACCCCGAGAGACAGAAAACAACCACAAAGACAATCAGGAAGACGCAAACAAAACTCAAGACGACCACAATAAGATGCACAACGACCACAAAGGGACAAAAGGTTTTGTGTCTTTTCGTCTCTCTGCTCCGGCTGTATCTGAGAGTGGTGGGAAGGCTTTTGCATGTCTCAGGGGAGCACTGTCTCAAACTCCGTTCAAGTATAAAATAACAAACCTGGAAATTGTTAATTATTGGTAATAATCAGCCTCCGTATTAAACTGCCTGCAGACGTGTCTCTGCTCTGTTCTGCCTGGGCGATAAGAAATGTAGTTACTGCACAGAAATTACAGATGTTACCTGAAGCCAGACACCGACACCTTGGTGGTATGTAAGCTGTACGGGGCCAAGCAAAAATCTGCACTAACACTGCTTCTAAAGATCTGGCACTAAAACGCTTTAAATAATGGTACGATGTCAAGGTCCAAGTATTATTATATTATTCCTCATTTCTCTCCAAATAGAGGAAATAATGATCATTGCTTTGTGTTGATTGAAACCCTGACCTCTCACAGTGAGCCATTAGTAGTTTATAGAATAAAGTTGTTTGCTGCTTTGAGGGTGCAGAGGGAGTCAATCATCCTGGAATGGCACAGGAGGCATGTTCATTGTGTAATTGAAGGTTTGGGGGCATAGATGATCCCAGCAGTCTCTGGTTTGAATTATAATGTGTGGAGGGAAGGAAGTCATCGCAACGAGAGTGGAACAAATAGTTACTGGGAAACAGGAATTGTGACAATAACTTAGGCGCTCAAATTAATTTGGACTTGGTTTGTAAAATTCATATATTTAAATAATAATCGGATATTAATCATCAGTCATACTGAGAGCTGGGAGGGAGAGAGGGGGGACACAAAACAACCACAAAGACGCAAAACCAAAAAGATACAGAAACACAATCTAAAGAACAATCAGTAAGACGAGCTAATATGTTCTTTTGTGGCTTTAATCGATACTCTTAATAGAACAGGTTCATTAGTGTTCAAGGTCTGTTCACACTATCATATTGGGTCACTAATTGCAATGCTTTATTGATTGCACACCAGAGAGACTTATGAGGCTCTGTTTACCATTGCAAATGCAGCTACACTTTCCCAACAACCTCCTCCAGGAAAGAAATGCAAAAAGTCAATATGCAATGATAAGTTATTCACACAGTGATTCTGAAGGAATCTCTTCTTTCTTTTTGTATTGGATATCAACTTGTGAAATAGCATTTACGCATAATTTCCAGCTGTTTGTGCTCAAACTGGCGTCTGTCTCACAGCTTCTGATCTCTGCTGGAACATTATAACATCAGCACCTTTGTATTCTGTTAGTGAATCATCAGCCAAAAAAAAAAAGGTTGTGACCTTTATGCTCCCGAGTGCCTTCTCTCTCCGCTTCCCCTACAGTGCCAAGCAGTGGGCGCACTAGCTAACGTTAGCTTATAAATGGAGTCCACAACACAGAGTCCAACACAGAGTCCAAAGTCAAAGCTAACATTACTGCTAAGCTTGTGTGACACATTGTCTGATTGTGCTTTTAGCTGGATAACGATGTGCTTCAGTAAGAAAATCAACCTGAACCTATAAAAGTGAGATCTGGCGGCCCTACGTCTGAGCATCGGTCACCACCCTCGCAGCGTGTCTAAGGTTCATCGACACACAGGTAAACCTACCTGTACACTTCCTGCTGCTCTCATCTTTCTTGGAGGAGCTCATCAGTTTGCAGTTGAAGTTTTCCTCCCAGTACTCTGCGAACCATACGTTCCTCCGGTTGTTCTCCAGAGTCCGTGACGTGAAGTACGCATCGAACCCTGAAACAGGTCAACAAAACAAAAGAGCTTTACTCGTTATCGGCTTTAGCAATCAGAAACCCGCCAGCGCTCAATGTGACAGCAGCACTCGAGTGTGAAGAGTCACAACAAACAACATGTGTTTATCTGCTCATCTGCAACTTACATTTATGTAAAACATCTAAAGTGCTCTTCAGTTTCAAGAGTCTGCCGGCATCCAGACAATTCCATCATCAGATAAACGGGAAAATGGCTGAAGTCGTACTGTCGTTACTATCAGACGAGTAGTAAAGAATAAAAACATGGATGTGTACTTCATTCTGTATGATCATCAGACAACAGAAATGTGTCTTTTGCAGCTTGTTCATAAAATCTCTGCAGCAACAAACAAACCTCTCAGCACGTTTAGACTTTAACGCTGTTGATTAAATTACAAAAATTATGATTTTCATGATGTTGCTCTAAACTGGCCATTTGGCAACAGATGATAGCTCTTCGGTTCTCGTATCAGTGTGCTAAAATTATCATGTGAAGCAACAAGATGGCAAATAAAAAAATGACAACATAAGGAGGCGTCTTTTTAAAAGAAGCTGTGACCGACTCGCATCAAGCAGCACAGTAAAAAAAAAAAAAACTAAAACACAACAATAATGTTGTTTATTTCGACACTGCTATATTAAAAACATTCAAACATTACAAAACATAAGAACAATTGCCCCTTTTTCTGATCAGTGTTTTCTAATTATTCACTTCTTTTCACTCAGTTTTAACAACAGCAGCTGAGCTGCATGTGGAGAAGGCGGCTTGTTGTTAATGACCTAACCTATCAAAACGATTAAAACCAACGTGGTACCGATTGACCAGCTGTTCACTGCTGGTCTGAGCTTGTAAAATATCCTCTGTAATCTGTTTTATCAGGTTGGGAAAAATTTTATCTGTAGAAAAACTAGTACCGTCACGTTTTCAGAACTTTGGCATTGACTTGGTACCAAAGTATTGACATCAACATTGTGGCACCAGACCAGAAGTCCATCATTCAGAGGAGATTTGACACCACAGACGATGAGACATTCATCTTAGATGATGATTAGTTTGTTTCACAGTCAGTCAACACTGTTGGGCAGGAAGATGATTCACGTCTGAAACACCAAACCACCATCACGTCGTGCCTGGTGGACTGTCTGCGTAAGGCTATGTGTTTTCAGTCAGTTATATAAATAAAAAACAATAGAGGTCCAAGGATAAAACCCTGAAGAACTCCTCTATGCAGCTCAGCTCGATTTAAATTAGATACTGTTCTCTGTCCATTAAAAGGTCCAGTGTGAAGGATTTAGTGACACCTAGTAGTGAAGTCGCAGATTGCAACCAACTGAATATTGCTCAGCCTTTCCAGCGCATAGCAGAAACAACAGTGGCTATTAAAATGTTGAAAAACGCAATAGGATCGCTCTCTTTGTAGATGAAAATGTCTCGTACTAAAGTAACGAAAACACGATTCTTATTTTCAGCTGATTTCACACAAATGAAAACACACCTATAGATATTATATTATAGTAATGTGAGTTTAAGGATGATGTAGAGTGGAGGGTTGATTTACCAAGCAACAAAAAAAAATTACATAAGTTAAAAAATGTCTTGTTGGAACCTTTCTGCAGATTTAAAAACAATCCATTTTAGGGTTCCTGTTACACTGCTTTATGACAAAAGTAGAATTTTTGGCAGGACATGAAGATCTGAAGCAATGAATAGAAACTGATCTCCGGAGCAGCAGGAATAGCTCTGAACATATAACCTCTGCTCAGATCACAATGGGCTGAGAAATGTGAAGGTGGTGAGTAGGTTTCAAATCGTTTAAGTAAATTAAGAGATTATCTTTAACTAAAAACAGACTTCTATACAAGGAACAAGAAATAAGACACATTATAAACTCATGAGATCAGTTTAAAACCATTATGCAATATTTTACAGACCTCACTTTATGCTGCTGATTTATATCATTTTCCTTCAGATTGTTAATTTATGTTTCTGTGTGAATCCATGTTTGTGAGCAGTGAGTGAACGGGTATATCCTGACAAACGGTGTTGATTTTAGCCAACAATAAATTCTGTAATGGTACAAAGCTAGCTAGCTTTCTATTAGCCAAGAGCAATGCGAGGCAGGGGCATCCAGCTAGCCAAATACGCATTCCTTCATCCACATGAGGGAATATTTCCTGTTTCAGTGTGTAGAATAAGTATTTTTATGATAGTGTTGGTAGTATAGTATATGATGATTGTATTTCTGAGACTTTGGGACAAATCAAAACAAACGTGAGCCTGCTCAGTGACGTACATTTATAAACCATCCTTATCAAATCACTGCAGCCTGAGAAATGGATAATATTTCCAAACTGCATTTCTTTTTCTTTGTTGACAGCTTTGTCTCCTCCACTCTATCATTCAGATCCTCACAACAGTCAGAACAGGAAATTGAGTTATAAGGAGAGGAGTCCTTTATCTTAAGAAGTGCACTTAATCATCTCTCCATTCTCCTGCTCAGTATTGTCTCGATAGGCTCTTCTCGCTGTCAGCAATGCTGCCGCTGAGACGTCCTTGACAGCATGTGATGATGTCACTGACGCATACATTTTAATAATTTCTGACGGGCTAAAATTAGGATCTTGACCTCTAAGTTTCTCAGCGTGGAGTCAGCAGAGTTAAGACATCAGGGGAGGACGGGGGAGGACGGGATGGAGTTAAAGGCAGACATAAAAGAGAAGAATATAGAATAGAGGACAAGAGGATAAAACTTGAAAAGACTCCATTACAGTGAGAGATCTGATTCATAATTCACTCTGATGTGATCTTAGGCTGACTGACTCTGGGTGGGGAGATAGTGAGCTGCCTCCCCCCCTGCTAGGGGCAGATATTTCATCTAAGGGCATCTCAGACTTCTCGATGGCTGGCACTTCGTTTGCATAACAAAGTGAGAGCTGCCTCACCCCTTGATCACTGCCACCCATCACGTATGTGAAATAAGAAACAGATAAGAAAAGACATAGGTGTATAAGTTAAGTGGTGGTATGCAAATTTTTGTAATAAGGGGTGAGTTTTTAGTCATTGATTTGAAGGTGGTGGAGGATGTCAGTCTCTGGTACCTGATAGTTCCGGTGGGAGTGGAGGTTCCATGAGTCGTTGGGGGCTCTAAGGATGCAGCTGGAAAGCGCCTGCGTCTGCCTATTAGGGTGACGATAGGCGTGGTTTTATTTATTTGCTGGGTTAGACAGAGTTTGTTTTGGGTGGTTGAGGTGGACAGAAGTGAGGCAGATCTGAGGGGAACGTTTTTTGAAGGTAGGTGGCAATGTGGAGGAGTTCGGACAAGATAAGGAGTGGGAGAAGGTTGTGGATTGGCACTTTGAACGGTAAACAGGGTTTTGAGGTATGTTTTGTAGTCAAACTGCGGTGTTGTTGACCGGGATTCCAGTGGTGTGCTGCAAGGACCTAGGGGGGTGATGGTGTTGTGTTCATGGAGGGGGTTCTTGGTGATGATTCGAGCTGCAGAGTTCTGAACAGTTAAAGTTTCATGGAGGTATTTGTGGCGGTGAGGACCGATGTGAAGGGAGTATGGCAGTAGATCGATGCGAACAAGCTGGTATGTACAAGAAGGCGAGTGTGGTTGTGAAAGCAGGGTAGTGTCGGAGGTGATTATATATAGTTGTAGGGGTATAGATATGCATGACTTGTGGTGTAGGGTTATGATATTTTGATTGGAAAATAAATTGCGTCAAGGAGGTGTATCACCCAGACTGCTGTTAACTCCTGAGGAGGAGACAGTATGATTTGTTTGTCAATGTGAGGAAAAACTGTCAGGGGGCTTTGTGGTTTGATAAGTGGTTGATTAGTGCCAATTGAGAAGTAAATGTTTTTATCATGTTGTAGTTTGAGGGAAGGTTGGAGGAGAACCAGGATTTTGTAGTTTCAGTGAAGCGCAGTAGTGGGAGTGGTAGGAATGGTGGGGGAGAGTGGATTATTGTAGTTTTGCTGGGAGATTGGTAGAGCTGTTGTAGTGTCCA